TTTTGGGGGGAACCATTTCATTTTAGGAATCCCCCCCCCACCATGGGGACTGGTTTCAAAAACTCCTGGTCAGCACAAAAGTGAGTTAATTGATGCAGATGGAGGACCTAAGTGACGCTATTAAGACCTTCTTCTCGCTCTCTCTATACTCAACTCTCCCCTTGCTGCCTACATCTAGGGTTCTATAGCACCTCCACATCTGCCCCTCGTGGCTGCAACTGCTCCTGTGTCCACCTCCTCTCAACTTCAAATACCACCCCAAAAGTTGAAGAGAAGTCCTGGGCTTGACTCATTAGTTCTGTTGGGCTATATGCACATCTCTGAACTAATATGGTGGCCAAAGGAATGAGCTGTTGAATAAGTTAAATCATTCAAAACCAATTCTGCAGCCCACGTGAGCAGAAGAAAAAGGAATGGAGACCTTCCTAGAGCAGCTCCCATGTGTCTTCCCAGAAGGTGTTAAAGAGATACTTTGGTGGGGAAACAGACAGATACTTAAAGGCACAGAGATCCAAGTTCCTATGCCACAGGTGACTGGATCACACCAAAGTCCCTGGAATCCTGAGGTTCTCCGAGCTCAGGTAAGAAATCCATCAGGCACAGTGAACCTGCGATTTTACAAATAGACATGGAAGTCCAGGCCGGGAAGTCACCTAGCCGGGGCTAGCAGAACTGCACAGAGCTCGATGGTGCTGCTGGCTTCCCAGAGAGGCACAGAAGTCCACACTCTAGGTCCACACACTATAGACGTGCAGCTTTCTATATGTCAGTAGAGCTGGGGGAGTGGCAGGAAGGAGCCCCACTCTGTCTCTCTTCTCCTTATATTCTGAGTACTTTGCCTGTCATTCACTTTGTGTCCCTTTTCTTTGTGTGTGCGCACACACAGAAAGTAATCCCTTGAAAACTGCTACTACAGTTAATCCTAATCTAGGACACCCAGGAGATTAGTGCAACACACTTGGGCTCTGTATTTCCTGGAGATGATCAGCATGCGGGCCAGACAACTAAGCAGGGAAGGCTCAACCTGAAAACCTGGAAGGCCCAACGTGGAAAGGGGAAGCAAGAAGAAATCAGTCTGGGCGCCTAAGTTCAAGTCTGCTTGAGTAGATAAGTCTGCTGCTGCCGCCATGGCCTGTAGCATCAGACTACAGCTCCTGCAGCCTTTCAATGCAGAAGCACACCAGTGACTCCCCAGGGAGCTCCCAGCCTGTGGCCTCAGATGAGCACCTCATTCTTGTCCCTCCTATCGTGCGGCTCAGGCTCTTGGCCTGATCACTTGCTGCATGCTCCGGCTCTCCGCTGTGCTGTGTATCATCCAGCCTCGGGTCTTAAAACCAAACTAGCAAATGCCCTTTGTGCCGTGTCCATGTAACATGTACAGTAATGTAAATCGATGATGCATATTCTAGCCATACTGGTGCTCTAGAGAATGTACCTGCTACTGTCACCCTCTTAGCACATTTGTCAGTGGGCGATGCCACATTGTGGACTTAGGCGTGAGGTTATGCAGATCTCTAAGACTTGCTCATCTTGTCCAACTGCAACCTTCTACCCACGGGACAGCCCCACTTCCCGCCCCTGTCACTTGGTAACCACCAGATTCTGCTTCTATGTTTGGCTCCTTTAGACAACTGATGCACTGGTTCTGTACTTGGTTCATCTCACTTAGTGGAATGTCTTCCAGTCCACCCACGTGGTCCGATGGCAGTCTCCCCTGCCTTTGGAGGGCAGAATCCCATGCCCTCATGTGTGCCTGCCACTCTCCCTTCTGTGGGCATTTGGGCTGCCTCCGTATCTCGGCTACTAGAGTAACACTGCCACGAATGTAGGAGTGAAGCTGTCTCTTTAAGACTCTGATTTCAATTCCGTGGTATACACCTGGAAGTAAGGCCTCTGCACTCCATGGTACTTCTATTTTTCATTTTTAAAAGAACTTCCACACTAACCTCTGTAGAGACTTCTCCTTTTACATTCCTGCAAGGCAGTATATAGGACTCACTTTCCTCCTTCCCCTGTCTAGATGCGTCAAGGAGAGGCACAACATCCATACTGCCAGGCTCTGGGCCCCTGCCTCTGGCCAGAGCCTGCCTCCAGCTTTCCCTCCTGCTGCACCACTGGAATATCCTCCCTCACCATCCCTGCCCATGGACCCTGCTCAGTCTTTTGAGCCTTCGCCTCCCTCCCTCCTGGCACCCTCTGCATTATGGAGATCGGCCTGAAACTGCTTTTTTATTTGGATCGACTCCCACTAAGTCGGTAAACAGGAAGGGGCCTCTGAAATGCCAGCCCCAGGGAATCCAGTAAACAACTCCTTCCTTCAAGGGCACTAATGTTTCACCTGGGAAGAACGTTTGTTTGTTTGTTTGTTTTAAATGTGGCAGATCAAAGAAAGTTGATCTCAAAAGATCATCTGTTTTAATCTCATTTGTATGATATTATTTGAATGGAAAAAATTTAGAAAAGCAGGCGGATAGACTAGTGGCCAGGAGGAGCTGGGAGAGAGCCTGGGTGGGAGACAGGGTAGGGTGTCAGCATGAGGCTGTCTGGGCACAGATTCTGCTGGTGTTAGGCCCTAAGGATGCGCACAGAGAACATGGGTGAGCGACAGGCTGGAAGAGAATTTGACGCACACAAACACAGACACATACAAACAGGCACAGCTAAGGAGCAGGAATAAGCCAGATGGACAGTGTCGCTGACAAGATCCTGGTGGTGATGTGTATGGTAGTCTGGCAAGATGTCACCCTTGAGGGAAAACTAGATGCAGGCCGGCGACGCCTCTCTGTCCTTCCTGTTACAGCTGCAAGTGACCGTATCTGTGAGCTCAGCCAGAATTTGTTAGGAAAGATCCAAGTGGGATTGTTAAGCAGTTTACACTGGACAAACCCAGCACTTCTGTTCTCCTCCAGGTCCTGACCATCTCCTCTCTGCAGATGGTTCTGCTGGGTCTGCCCTGTTAGAAATGTGGGTTCTACCGCCAACTGCATTTGTCAGAACTCATGGACTGTAAAGTTAACGTGTGTATATTTCATTTGTAAATTTTCCCTATAAAAATATCAACCTCACTAAGGCTTCCTTACACGGGAGTGTTTAGAGGTGAGAAATACTGGTGCCTAACCCTTCCGGCTTTTGGTTCTTGTTGTTGTTAGCACACTTGCCTTTGGGACCAATGCACCAGGAAGACTGAGGTACCACTGCACTGGTTCTGGTCTCCTACACGGATTTGTTAAGGCTTCCTTCATGACACCTGGCCCCATGGAGCCCACGCTCTGCCCATCTCCTCTCTCAACCCAACAGTACCCGCCTTGAGCCACAGACATAGCCAGCAATGCCCTTAAAATGGCTTTAGACACAGGTTCCAAATTGGCAGATCGGGCCACTTGTCTTGTTTTCTGCTAAGTACACTGCTTTGTGGAAACCATTCTTGCAACTGACGCAGTTTAAGGAACACAGCAGTTGCTGTTTTCAACCCTTTCAAACTCCAACTTATGAAGCTCTTAGTCACCTTGGACTGCAGAGTGCAGCCGAGTCCCGCCATTAGCACAGCTGTGTCCCTTTCACTGTCACTGGGCTACTGGCCGGGCGTAGCTGAAGTCCGTCTCTCTCATTGTGCAATGCTAAAAGCAGCAAGAAGCAGCGGCTAATGCATTTCTACATTCTGAGCTTCTCCTGCCACATCCACCTGCAGTCCGCGTTCAGAACATGGGCTGCTTTTCAAAAGACAATGGGGAAGCACTTTCATCAAGTGCTTTGTTTCTGTACAGCGAGGCTCACTGGCTCTCTCACACACACTGCTTGTGCCCCTGCCACCTGGACGTGTCCTTCAAGTCAATGCCACATGTTCAGGATACGGGATGCTCACTTCTCTTGGTTCTATATTTGGTGTCACATAAGATTTGACAGAGCCATAAAGGAAAATCCAAAATAACAGTGGCTTAAACAGGTGGATTGAACTCTCCCTTATCCTGAGTCTAGAATAAGATGGTGCAAGGCGGGAGTAGGCTGCATGGGGTCAGGGACCTCTATCCCATCCTTGCTTCCGTGTGTGTGTGTGTGTGTGTGTGTGTGCGTGTGCATCTGTGTGTGTATGTGTGTGTGTGTGCACCACTGAGGCTGAAACACAGAACCTTCACACTAACCTATACCCCAGTCTTTTTATTTTTATTTTTATTTTGAGACAGGCTAAGTCACTAAATTGCCCGGGCTAGCCTGGAACTTGCAATCCTCCTGTCTCAGCCTCCCAAGCTGTGGGGATTACAGGATATGCCACCACACCCAGCAACCTGGATCCCTTCTATCCCATTAGCACTGGAACTGATGCGTGGTTCTCACGACAGTGTCCAGGTGGCTTCCCCAGTTCTGACCATCGTAGTCTTCTTCCCCTCCAGGGGAAGGAGGGGGCAGTGGACAGATTCACCTCCACCCATCAAGGACACTCCATGGACGGTGCCTGGAAACAGTCTTCCACCAGCCAGAATGTAGTCACGTGGCTGCACCTCCCGCAGTGGAACATGGGACAGGCCATTCCCTTCCTGCACAGCCTGGGTGCAAGTGGTGAGACTGGGGATTTTGGTACCGAGGACAGACAGCAACACACACGAGGAAGATCTGCAGCCTCTGGGGGCTCATACTCATGCCAGACTTCAGTTGGAGTCCTTGTTTGGGGAAACGTTGCAGGACTTTGTTTTATAGCTCCAGAATTGTTCACTCTCCTCCTTCTTTATGGCAGATTTGTTTGGCCCCTGCACACACATCCCAGAAAGGACAGTGGCCATCTGAGCTGTGTGGTCTCTGTCACACAGACAGTGAAGGTAACCATCTCACATATTCTGCCAACTTCTGTCCCTAGCAGGGGCACAGATCGTCATGGAAGGGGAGTATGGCTATCTCAACTTCACAGAGACATAGAATGAGGTGTCCCTGATCAGTATTTCCCTTGGGAAAGGGAGGGTTTTCACAGCTGAGATATCACCTGTGTTTAGGAAATCACAAAATAGGCAAGCACCTCAGACAGAGAAGCTCCAGAAAACCCACTAGGCCGTCAGTGCCAGTCGAAAGTCAAAGCTGAGGAAGTTTAACTTCAGAGACTGAAGCTCTCTGTGGATTGCTGAGTAATCTAGGAGCCAATGTTCTTAATAAAAGCACATTTTCCCTGAAATTATTTACTATTTCTGTCTTATTCCCTTCTTCAGACCTATTAGCAAGAGTTGGTTTAATTCCCAAGTATACTGGCACCAGGTTGACCGAATGCTGACGTTTCTAACGGAAACCTTTTTAAACTTGTCAATAAGTTGAAAATAAACTTGTGAGGAAAACAAGCCACTGGCACCCAGGAATGCCCTCGCGAGCTTCTGGGGAAGGTGACGAGATGTGACACCAGCTGGCGTCTAAGGGGGAAAGCGCCGGTGTCACATGCTGGCGGCGTTCCAGAAAGAGACCAGCGGGCCCGGGTTTTCTGCGGGCTGTCAGAACCCTAAGGTCTGCAGCCAAGGAAATGGACATGATCTTTAAAGGTTATTTGTCTTCAAAATGCACACAAAATCCGCCACTTCAGAATTAAGAAATGTCTAATTAAATAGCTACAAAGTGCAACATTTTCTTCTCCTGTTCAATTTGGCATTCATGAATATTAGATAAGTATTTTATTACTCTTGAAAACAATTTGCTTCAGGATGGCTCATAACAGGAATTCACTGATATGCACAACTGCCAGGATCTTACAACTTGCAGTATTTAAAAAGTCATCAACAGCCAGAAGCAAACGCACTCAACACCAGCAAGATGTGCATGGCGATGCATTTGGTGTTAACACGGGGCGTGGATGCATCTTCATGCGTTTGCTAGGATGCACAATTCCCAAAACAGTGCCTTAGAGAAGAGGTCAAGAGCCAGAGCGTGTATGTGTGAGTTACTTTTCTCTCATTGCTGAGACAAAATACCCAACACTCAAAGTTAAAGGGGAAAAGACTTATTTGGCTTATAGTTCGTAGAGGTTCATAATCGGCTGGCTCCAAGGCAGGGTGGCAGAGGGTCCACAGGTTATGGCAGCAGAACAGCAAAAGCAACAAGGGAGTTTAACAGCATCCTTCTGTCCCTTTCATTTTATTCAGACCACCAGGATTGGGGTGGTGCCAAACCCATCACTCACTCATAGCGGTTTAGTACTCACACACCCTCAACCCCAGCATCACACATTCCAGATTTAGCCACCTTTTGGAAAGACTGCATGAGGCTTTGGGGGACATCTGACCCAACCACAAACAGTATATTTTATGCCTCATGTACCACGTAGTCTCTCCTGCAGCTACTGCCCTCTGCCGCTACTGCCCAAGCCACTATAGATGATCCAACCAATGAACAGACTGCGCGGAAGAACAGACGATGGGCCTCCTGGGTCCCACAGCAGGAGTTCTCGGGCTCCTGGCGTAAATCCAGGAATAATCACTTACTGACCCCAGCCAACAATTCAGACTCAAAAAAAGAAGGGAATTTTCTTCTGAATTACCCAGAAAACACGCTAGACTGTCCCATGAATTGTGCCACATCGGTGCAGGTTTTTGACACACTCACACGTCAGACTCAGAGCTGCAGAAGCGCCTCCTTCCTTTCCCGGCACCCGGAGCACCAGGGAAGAGCCGAGCAGCCGCGGAGGACAGCTGAGATCTCTCAGAAGCAAATATTTGCACAGCTCCTTCAAAAGGAAGGGAGAATTTTACTCCGAGCTAATAGATTTTATTAACATAATAATTTTTATTTCTACCATTTAAAGTAATAGTCCACCAATTCCCCAACAAACACTTGTTTCTCTTGATTTATCCTAAGGCGCATAAAAGAATTTGCAAAAGATGATGCTCAATGATTATATAAATGTTTTAGATTTCACTGTAAAGTAACTTTGAAGCATTTTAGGTTTTGCTTCGTCTGTCTCTTTCCTCTTCCTCACACAAGAAAACTGACAACTGTTAGGCATATGTCCACCTATGCAAGTTTTTGAAAGAAACCATCAATTTACACTAACACTAAATGGACAAAGAAAAACCAATTAAGGGTCTGTGGTTTCACTTAACTGAAGTCTAAACAAAATTTATTCATTCAAAGCTTTTTAAATCATTTTATTCACATTATATATACAAGTTAAATGTCAGTTTTAGTTATCCAAAGCATAAATAAAGCTTATAAATTTCAAACATAATTACTTCTCTTGAGATAACGTATTTTATCTAGTTAATCAAAAAGTGAAAAGTGCTGATATTCACCCTTTCAAAATCACTAAAAATACTTATTCCAAAGATTTTTAGACTATTTGCCTATGTTTCCACTTAAATGGAGGCAGAATCATAATTAGAAAAATGTAAATAACCTTTAAAAATTTATTTTCATTTTTCCCCAGAGTTACTTACTGTTGCTAAACATCTAGGAAACCCCTGGATTGTATTTTCATGACCCTCAGAGCTAGGTTGCTAATGAAAGCAAAAAATAACACAATTAATGTTTCTCTTGAAAATGTGACAAATCAAATGGGTAAAAAGCATAACCTGCTGTTCTGCTTTGGTCCTAGCTGGCTGGCTGGAGGATACCAAGGCATTTAATCCAGATTAATGCTTAATCTTCATCCTAGGACTAGGAGGTGATTAACGACATACAAAGAAGAAAAGGGTAAAAAAAAAAAAACCTAAATAGTGACTTTCCTCCATTATGAGTCATTTCAATTCTCCAAAACATGCATTCCTTTTAGGAAGGGATTCCTGATCCCCAGTTGATTTCTTCTTCAAGTGGAGTCGCCTTTGAATTTAGCCAGTCTAGCCAGTCAGGCAGCAGCTCCTGCTGGGAGAGGTCTGGGCTCCTCCCCGAGCCCCGGCCTCCCTGTGGATGCCAGGCAAGTGGCAGCGCCATCTTCCGGCGATCAGCACCACAGAGCCTCTGGGGTGAGTCAGGGAGAGGCGGTCCTGCCACAGCCTCCAGACTCACCTTCCTGTGTTGCATCTGTGGGTGCCTCAGTGTAATTCTCGTGGTGGGCAGACCCCAGGTCTGGGGCATCACAGGCTCTGCAGACTCAAAACCAGCAGCCACACAGAGGGAAAAGAGACCACCCTCACTAGCTCCTGCCAGTTCCTGTGCAGCAGCTGTGACAGTTACGGAGGTCCTCCTAGGCAGTGCGACAGAAGCTCTCAGGGGTTCCCACACCCTCTCATTCTCCTGTGGATTCACGCTTTCGGGCTCACCTCTCCACTTCCTGTGCCCTGGATCCGTCCCCAGCGAGGTCTCACCCGGACCCTCGGACTACACTTGCTCTTCCCTGCACATTTACCATTTCTCTGAATGTGGGCTCCTTCCCCATCCACAAATGTGCTCACCTCTGGCCTTCAATGCTGTTCACTGTCTCACTGTCTCCTTCTGAGAGGACAGTGTCCATCCACTGTGGCCACTTAAACTCCACCCCTACCATCCCTAGACCACCCACCCTCACTCCTCCAAGAACTGCTCTCTGCTTTCCCAGATGAAGTCATAGTTTCAACCTCCCCCAACCAACCATGATCTTCAACTACCAATCTTTCCTCCCTGCTGTCACTTGCAGAGTCTGAACTCCATCTGGCCTGGCTTGCACAGTTCCACATAGCACATCCACATCAACCTCAGACTAAACATCCTCAATAACTCCTCATTTTTGGCATCTAGCCTCCTCCTCCTTCCCCATGTTCCCTAAGTATAGTGAGCACATCCTATTACAGGAGCTAACATAATAGAGCCCTGGGGATAAATCCAGCCCAACACTTGTTATAAATAAAGTTTTATTGGAACACACTCAAGACCATTTATAGGCTGCTTTCATGATACCGTGGCCACATTCAGCTGATGGACCTGGCCTTTAAATTCTGAAATATTTCCTGTCCCATCCATTATGGAAAGTTTTCTGACCCTGGCAAATTAAGGCGATTTTAAATGATAATACATCAGGTCATGTATTTATTTCAACACGTAGCTACTTTAGTGCATATTTTAAAGCATAACAGCAAACACATCATTGCTATAATTTCACAAATACTATTGCTTAGCCAACAATAAAGCAAAAAGTGGATTAAAGTGTGTACTAATTTTTTAAAATGTGAGGCAAAGTTATGAAGGTAGTGAGACAATGAACAATTGTGTAAAACTCCAGCCCCTCTCAACTAATGAGGTCTCCAGTAGCACGGCTGTTCACAGAAACTTCAAGCTGACTTCAACGCCACCATTGCCAGCCTCTCAGACACATGGTCATGTTCCAGGATCTGCCCGCTCTTCTCCAGGGCCATAGCCACTGGCTTGGGCCTAGCCCCTGTGTTCAGCCACTACGGCACAGAGTGGCAAGGAGCTGCCCACATCAAGGGAGACCACACGTCCTGCCTCTTAGACGTGGCGAGCACCTGAGGGGGGGCATCCAGGACTTTTACCTGGCCTGTGTGGTCTGCCCTTCATCCTTCTATCTCCAGGCTCCCCTCGGATGGCAGAGCCCCAGGGTGGAAGGAGTCCACCCCACCATCACACGAGCAGAACATGGGGTTCTGTGCTAAGCCACTCTGCTGGGGAAGTTGCGCTGGCTCTGGGTTCCTGGAAGCCCATTTCTCTCCAGACCCCAGCGTCTCCCGACACCCTCCTTTTCTGAAAGCACAGGGTATCTTCTGGGCCTTGAACCTGATCCACTCATCTTCCTAAGTGCTCAGGAGTGGTTCATCTCCTCCAAAGCCCCACAGATGCCCAAATCCGAGCAGAGCAGCCCTCCCACCTGGCTGGGCATTCTTCCCAGCTCCATCTCCGCAGCTCTCCTCACTATTCCTGCCCGGGCCTCTGGCAGCGCTGAGTCCTGAGACTCCTCCTCCTCCTGACTTCTTAACCCGCTCTGCCCCCTCCGTGAATCACTCACCTCCAGTCAGCCGCCTCCACTCATCACTTAGAGCCCAGGCCAAAGCACTGTGAAGACTTCCTGGCTTTTCTTCTTACTTGACTGACTCAACACATGTTCTCTGAATGGGTGGTTGGATGGATGGATAATGGAGAGAATATGGAAGAAAAAGGAAAAATATTTGTGAAGGAAAAAGGAGGGAAGAAGAAAGGAGAGTTCTGTGCTAAAGGAGGGTGCTATCTGCCGTCTGGGCCAGTTCCATCAGCCTCGGTGGGAATGGGTCCGGGGAGTCTGTCTAACCTGTCACTAAGCACCGGGGATTTCTGAAAGGGTTAGCTGAAGTAGAGCATGAAGACAGACCGAAAGGGCTGAGAGACTGTGTTTGTCAAGTTTCCACCACGGGGGCAAAATACCTGCCGCCTGCAGAATAAGAGGAGAGATCTCTTCAGCTCGTGGTTTTCAGAGGATTCAGTCCATGGTCGGTTGGTGCCAAGGCAAAAATGGCATAGCTGGAGGGCCTGGCAAAGGAAAGGGGCTCAAACCAGGACGTGAAGCAGGGAGTGAGAAGGGAGCCAGGGACACGAATGTGTCCTCCAGGTCACACCCCACGTCTTCCTATCGGGCCTTGACCCCGACGGCACACTCCACCATTGAGTCATCAGAGGACCAGTCTGCTGGGGAATACAATGCCCATGTTCCAGTCACCTCCTCAGAGTGTCCCCTCAGCACACACGAGGCTTTTGGGGGGGCTTTTAGCTCTACACCATAAAAGAACCCAAAACCAGAGGTGGGAAAAGGCCTGGAAAGGGGTAGTTGAAGGGCCACAGGACAAGAAACATGCCTCCATTCTGATGGCTCCATTCAGCTCTGGAGCTCTCAGCTGTGTCCTCCCCATTGGTCAGTAGCCAGCTGTCCCCAGCTGTCCCCAGTGTCCTCTGACTCACAGAAGGAGCCCTCCTTCAACCCTCCCTCAAGCAAAATTCTGCCTCTGCCCCTGGGTCAACTCGTACATGGGGCTTGGGGCCCACGTAAAGTGGGGACACGCTGTTATTTGGGTCCCTATGTGACTATCTAGCACAGGATGGGGTGGCGGGGAGGGAGAAAAGGAAGCTCTCGCCAGCTAACAAGCAAACACACTAGCTGTGGACCCAGTGTTAGGAGTCCTGTCACGTCTCTTCAGTGAAGCTGAATAGGTAATTGATGCCAGACCTGGTGTGTGCAGAGCAAAACAGAAACCTCAGTGGGATCTGTATCACATGGATTCCACTTCAAAACCCTGGAGGCTGGCAGCAGAGCAGCAGGTTTCCACACCCTGATTCAGCGGTTTTGGAGCCCCATCAGATCAATAATTCATCACAAACCACCAACTAAGTTAGAAAGCTCACAAGAGAAAGAGCTGGGCCGAATCTGGATTTTTCTTTCTCCCCCTCTTACCAAGCTCAGACCTCAAGGCTGCCGTGGATGCAGCTGCCGCTTGCCTGGCTGCCTGGCGGAGGGAGGAGAATGCAGTGTTCTCCAGCCCAGTTGGGCAACGACCTGCATCCCCACCCACGTGGTCTACTTGGCAAGGGCTGTGTATACACACATATGTGGAAATGGGTAGACCAGGCGTCTTGGCCACCATGTGCCAGGTTTATGTGGTGACACGATCTTATTTGTGCAAATTGTCCCTGGCAATGTGAGATGCTCCTTTAAAGATGGAAATCTGAGGCTCAGACAGGTGAAAAGACCCCCGATTTGCTTAAAAGTCAAGTGAGCTGGTCTGGAATCACACAGCCTGTGCTCAAGCCCTGGCTCTGCCCCTCAGGGCTCTACCACCTCCCCGGGGTTGGGATCCATCGATCTCCTGGGCTGTTGTGAAGAACAGGCCTTTCATTCACTTGTTCTTCCATGCCCATGTGTCCTGTACCCGTAAAGACAAACCTCTGCCCTCACAGAGCTACAGTCTGCTAAGGGAGAGATGTCAGGCACTTCAGGGCTCACTCTGAATCTCCCTCCCAGCAGTGAGGCCCAGGTGAAGTGCCCTGCAGCCCTGACTGTATGCACACATGACCTCTTCCACAGGACCCTTGGCTCATTTGTTTTATATCCCAGCAGCCACCAGGCATCATCCACTTTGCAGGACACAGAAGCAGGAGTCGGGGAGAGCCTGGTCCCTGGCAGCCTAGGGGCTGTCAAACAAGTCATGGGGCCACAGCTCCCACTCAGAGGACTGTGACAAGAACCAGAGGAGCTGACACTGGTAGACTCTGGGTAGTGGGTTTACACTTTGACACTGGGGAACCCCAAAAAGTGGCTTTATGGCTTTATAACCCAGGAAGCAGCTCTCTGCCCTGCTCTGCTCACTTCCTCAGGCCATGCGGCCTGCAGCCCTGTCTCCCATCCACTCTAACAGCCAGAGGAGGAGACACACAAGTGGCTCGCTCATCAGCGTTCCTGACACAAGGTCCCAGGACTCCCATTAGAGGCTCTGAAGAGCACCCCAAGCCCACTAACCCAACGTACAGACAACTGAGGTCTGGAGTTCAACATTTTAAGGAGCTTCCCAAGCATCAGACCCTACAGCCAACCTGCCTGTGTTGGAACCCCAAATCTGCCATTTTGCATGGCAGTGGCCTTGGACATTAAACTCTGTGTCCCTGAATGTCCCTGTTATAAAGGGAATTCAACAGCACTGGCTGCAGGGAGTGTGCCAACACGAGCCCAGGGAGCTCGGACAGTGGCAGGAAGTGACACATCATGCACACATTAGCCAGATATCATGCATCTTACCAACAGAGACCGCCTACTTCAGTAAGCTTGTTACTCCATGCGCTAAGTCCCAAATTTCCTGTAACACAGGGAGCTCTTCCAGGTCAGGACAGCCGCTCAGTGCACCCCTGCACGAGATCCTATGTGGCACGTGTGCATGGCCCTGCTCTTCCCTTCCAGTTTAACTCCATACACAGATCTGCCAACTCCAAGGTGCTTCCTGATTCTCATAAGGTTACACAGAGACCCCGTGAGGCAGAGCCTTCCTGGACACGTCTTACATCAGAGCCTTGCCCCATAACCCCCTCGAGCAGAGTCAAACCACATCTTTCATCATTTCACAGAAAATGCTCATCCTTCTGCTTAGATTGGGTTCTACAGCTCAGTCCTGAAGGATTTGCATGAAAGTAATCGCTGTGGACTAAATGGCATCGGCCCTACACTGACAGGATGAAGCCCAACCGCATGTGAACATCCCTGGCAATGGGGTCTTTGGGAGGCAGCTAAGTTTAAGGGAGGGTGGAGCCTTTGACGGGACCAGGGCCTAACAGGAGAGATACCAGTCGCTCTCCCTCCATCCTCCCCGCCATGGAATGCACAGCCAGGAGGTGGCCATCTGCCAGGTGGGAAAAAGCGCTCCCCTGAGCTAACTGCACTGGCGCCCTGATCTCAGATTTCCCGTCTCCAGAACTGTGAGGCAATAAATGCCTGGAGTCCACTTTGGCACATTTTGCGATGGCAGCCTGAGCTAATGGGACACAGGTTTTTATGGCAGCCTGAGCTGAGCAGCCAGTGCTTTAGGAGGAAAGGTCCCCAGGTCATGCGTGGAGCAGAGGGGGACTGGCAGAATGGATGACTGGCGTACAGGACAAGGGGAGTCCCCTGCCCCACTCCACATGCCCACCTTTATTCCTTCCATCAGTTCCACAGGGAGTGTGGGCCCTGTGGGGTGCGGGTGAACCTGCAAGGCAAACCAGCTGTCCTGACCTCACTGAGGACCGGGTCATGCCCCCTCCCAACATACGTGTTAATGTCCCTGGCACGGATGCGGGTGGGGCCTACTCAACACAGGAGGCCTCATTGAAGTGAAGGTCAGGTCAAGGACAAAGTGCTCAAATTCCCCTTTTAGCATGGGGCAGAGAAGAAGACCTGAAGGTTCTACTGCTACACTTTCCAATTCCTGGGCTGAAACACAATTCCAGGGAAGAAGACAGTCAGAGTGTACCTGCCCCGCTCCACGAAGGGTCTGTGGACAAATGTGATTTAGGAACAGATTCATTCCTTGCAGAGCCTCAGTCCTTCCTGTGCTCCTTCCACGGCCTTCCTCTTTCCCGCTCTTCTAACAGCTCTCCCTCTTCACCTGGCTCAGGGTCAGCCGGGTGGGCAAGCCGGGACTCACTTGTGCCATGGATCTGGCTGTGCAGGGAAGGGAGGCAGAGTGGCAGGGGACAGCTTCAGTGCCTGTCTTGTGGCCGCCTGAGAGCCATAAGTTCCACAGCTGAGCCACAAGCCAGGATAGGTCTGGGTGCCAGCAGGGTGCCACACAGCTCCCCCGCCCACCCACCGAGGGCGAGGCCTGCAGCCAAGAGCAACAAGAAGTGTAAGAATGATAAGGATGGAAAGCAGGAGAGGACCTCATTCCGCTGGGGCCAAGGAGGTCACTAGGGACGGGGAGAGACAGGAGAGGAGGAGGAGGAGGAGGAAGGCTTTCAGGCTGGAGAAGCAGCATGGGCCCTGGGCCCAGCGGAGCTCAGGTGGGTTCTCATGTGGCTGGAGCCTGGAGAGGAGGGAGAGGGTGAGGCAGAGACAGGAGGCAGAAGACAGAGCATCACAGGACCTCCAGGCTTCAGGATTATTGATCTTTCCCTGGGTGCAGCAAGCCGCTAGGATGCTTCAAACTGGAGAGTGACGCAGCCACTTGTCTGTGACACGCTGGGGGATGAGTTGACTCCGATCATCTCTGGGTTAGGGATTCCAGAAGACACATAGACAATGTGGAGAACACACACACACATGCACACACACGTGCACACATGCACGCCCATCTCTGTGTACACGTACCTTGTGTGTGCAGACAGTGGAGGGCACCACATCGAGGTAAACTGAACTAAACATGTGAGGTGAAAGAAGCAAGGTTGTGGACTGCTACAAAGAGCCCAGGGACCGCATCCGCCTGGCTCCCAGCACCAGGAACACCGGACTGGAGATGCATGTGGTGCCCCCAGTGGCTCACTGCCCACTGTACCCACCCCACCCCACAGCCTCTTTGAGGAAGATCGCCGGGCTGTAGACTGTGCCACAGGCGGCCTCTCACGGGGCAGGCACAGTGGTCCAGCCCAGGCCAGAGGAAGCTGCCCGGTCACTCTCCCACCCAGCTTTTCCCCAAAGCAGCACGCAGGTGTGTTTTCCTTGAGCAGACTAGGGCTCCCAGCCCCAACTCCTTGTTACTCGCTGGGACTGACAACATCCTGTCCCCACCAGGGTCCTCCCTGGCCCTGGTCACAAGCCTCAGAGTTCCCAGGACTTCACTGCTCAAAGGTGCTTAATCAAGAGAATTTCATTTTCATCTGAATCATTCACAAAGTATTTCATTCTAACATTTGGTATTATTGTCAGTAACACGATGACAATCAGCTTAGGTATTTTGTGCTCCACCCCACCCAGTATGTTCCTTAGAATGCCCATTAGTTTGCTTTTATGAAACCTGAATAGAGCTTTTCATCCCATGTTTGATTAATCAAACAGAATCCTAATATGACAAACTGAACTATTTAAATACTGTTAATATTTGAAACTGTTGCCCATGTGTATGAAAATTTTCTTGATACTTCAAACACCAGTTGACAATAATATAAGGCAAGGCATTGGCGCTAAGAAAATGTAATTTCTCAAAGTTTGTCCACAATCTCCAATTTCCTTTTCAATTGCTTTGTTCTGTTTCTGTTTGTTTCCATCAGAATCGTTACTTTTGTTCATTATTGGTAACGGTTTTGAGTTACAAATCTTAATGTGCTCAGAAATGGTGCTTATAAAAGCCACTCACCTATGTTATTTACATTGGTGTTCTTTGCAGGATTTCAGTTGAAAAGAAAGATTCTGCTGCTAAAAGTAAGGAAAAAATGAACCAGGTGATCCCTAGGGCTTCTGCAGCTCAAATATTCGGTAAATCTGAAGACAGTCAGCAGGAGCATATCTAGAATATCCTCCTGTGACTGCATTTGTAGCAACTCAGCAGCAAAAGAAATTCTCCCCAGGTTAAAATCTCATGTACCTTCAAGTCACTAGGTACGCGTACTTTACTTTAGTCCATGTTCCCTGTTCATCTATCCTCTAGTTTGTCTGGACACTGGACATGTTTTATACCACCTCTTCTTTTCCAAATGTCCAATTCTCTGCGTTTCCCACAGGTATTAGGCGAAGCAGTAAGTAATTCTTCATAAATCATTCACAGCTGAACTTACAGGAGCAGAGATGTGCACTCCTCTTCTCTCGAAGAGCAGGTCACAACCCTTCCATTGAAGAAGGATGAGGTTTTATTGCTTTCACACAAATTACCAAAGGAGAAAAATTCATAACTAGAAACTCCTGCAATGATGCTGCTTTTCATGAGAGGCATAGTGACTCTATAATGAGCAGTGTGTTCCCTTGCAACAGAAATGTGTGGACACGTGTGACAGCTGTGTCGTGGAAAGGGAGCAGGAGAATCGCACACTCTGTCTTCAGTCTCTGAGCACCTCAGGAGAAGTCTTGAGTGCCCCAGCACGACCTCAGCATGCGTGTGAATGAACTCATCCACTCGAAAGGTGCAGGTCGGGCTATACAACATGCAGGGCGTGGTGCCAAGGAGACTGTGGGGCCCTCATTCAAACATTTAAAATGCCAAGCATTCAGCCAAGCACGAGCCCTTCTGAGAACCAGGCCCCGAACCACTGCTCAGGCTCTGTGCCTGTGAAGGACCAGAGATCCCTCTGTCAGGGGCACAAACCCTTCGCTGGTGGATGCAGCGACACCATCTTTGTGCCAGGAGCACCATCGTTTTATCTACTCAAACTCAGGCTGAGCAAAGACCTGAAATCACGGAGACTGGGCCCCATTTTTGAAGCTCTCCTCATACAAATTAGATACGCTAGCACAGCTCTTTGGATCTGGCATACTTCTCGGTTACATGACAGAAAAGGGAACTTTTAAAAATAGGAGCAAATGAAACTGGCAAGGCCCAAAGGAGACTCACACTTGGGACCCGCATCAATAGTGCTGGGCACAGCCGATTCCCTGACTCTGATCTGCGGTGCGATTGTGTAAGATGCTATCTGGGGGAGTTAGGAGGGTCCATGGGAACTCTCAGTACTGTTTCTGCAACTTCTCATGAGTCTAAAACGACTTCAGAGAAATCATTCTGCAAAGCAAAGCGGTACTTAAAGAATTTGTATGGAGATCGTATAGAAACCGTGCACAGGGGAAGCCAGGGCTCTATTTGGCAAGAAGTGCAAGAGATCAGGACTAACATCGTGTGATCTTCCCCTCATCGATAGCTCTGGTGCCCTTAGGTGGATACAAGCTCGAGGTGTCTGGAGGGGTTACACAAGGTATCATACTTGACCAGGACTATCAAAAACAATAACAGCTGGCTACGCAGCAAGGTGGTTGAGTGTACAAGCCTGTGAGAGAAAACCCCACTTCTCAGGTCTTCACTGACTATGTGCTCATGTTAGTGATGTCACAAAATCGTATCGAGAGGCCCTCTCAAGGGAACCAGCCATCGGCCCCTGGTGGGATACAGCAGGGCACCGTTTCACTGAGATCCTGGGGGTGATACTTACTCACTGCAAGGTAACGCATTTCTCTCCAAGAGAGAACAACCCGCCAAGGTGGCCCTGCACTCGTCCGTCTCCCTGCTCACAGGCACAGAGGTTGGGAGTGAAGGCAGAGCTGGGAGAGGAAAGGCGGAGAGGTACAGGTACAAAAGTACAAAGGCTGACAGGACCTAGACAGGCTGCTGAGCTCCCACGGATGGTGCGGATCCCTGAAATATGAATTGCACACAGCTGAGTTATCCGACAAGGGAATGGTTTCGATTCAGGGACAGGACCGTGGGTATTACTGCTTTCAATTTCTATCAATTTAATTTAGGCCATTCAAAAACAAAGTAACATTTCAAAGGAAATAAAGCAGGCAATAGACCTGGAAATGGTTTTATTTAAGATAGTTCATACTCTGCAGTAGATTTTAAAATATCAGGTTGACCAATAAGCCTATGTGATGGTTTAACCCGGGGCAAGTGTGTGGAAATGAACGAGGTGTTCAACCGGTCCTCATGTATGTGCTTGAGACTCGCAGGGAACTGGGCAGGAAACCCAGAGACCCATAGAGAAACAGAAAGCAGAAACCCTTCATTTTCTCCTCTGTTTCCCCCTCCCCTGTGAGGTTCTGGTGAGAATTCAGGGGCCTGTGCATGTGCAGGGGTGCTGTGAAGTTAGAGCCGTGGGTGGGCTCCTCAGGGCAGTGCCTCTGGACTCTAGAAGCTTCCAGTCCATTTAGGGAGGAAGGAGGATCCACCATCACCACCAGCCTACAGGACTTCTTGGTACAAGTGTGAAAAAGGCAGCCCTCACCCAGCAGCAGAGACCGGTGAGCAGAATGTGGACAGCCCTGGTCCCTGCTCCATAACTCTGGGCAGTCCCAGGTCAGTTTTCAGCTTCCAAGCTGCTTGAGAAAGGAAAGTCCAGCCAGTTTGGGATCCACTTTAAGTAACACTCTGTTGTCCCAATCTAACTCCTCTTCCACAGCCTAACGACGTCCAGGAGAAAGTGTCACTCTGTTGCTACCCTGGCTTTGACCCCTCTCCCCGTTTCACAGAGAGGCTCCCCTACACCCCGTCTCTGACAGGGAGCCTTACTTACCCCGCAGTTGTGTTCTATGGTCACAGATGAGTATTTAAGTGCTTTGAAACTTGTCGGATTTGGTATTCGATTCACTCTGATGCATTTTGTTGCAGTACTTGCTGTCTGCTTGGTACTTGTCACACAAGCCAAACTTCTTAGTGTCCACTGTCCTGTGAGCCGTTGCCCTTTCCAGCCAAAATAATTTAGTAATTATCATGTTGGTACTTCTCACACCTCCCAGAACCGACGAACAACTGTACAACTGTGACAAGGTACCACTGTCTTTCCTTTGTGTCTACGCCTACACTTGCTTCTTTAGTTTCTCGTTAAAACATAAAATTTCTTACCTGAAATAAATGTCCTGGAGCCGGAGATTTAGCTCAGTGCTTCCGCGGCCTGCCTCACAAGCACAAGGTCCTGCCGGAGTTCCTGAGTTGGATCCCCGGTACCAAAAATAAATAAATAGACAAACAAATAAATAAATGTAGCTGATGTAGAGACAAGTACATTTAAACCAAGTCCAAGTGGCAAACAGATATGGCACAAATTATGAAGAAGGGGCAGGACAGACTGCGGTTCGGAATTGCTGAGCCGTCCGGCACCGGCACAAGGGGCAGTGACCCTAACACTGCAGGGTGGGTGTGTGTGGAGCCGAGTGAGCCTGGAGCCCCGCCGGTGGGAGGAGTGGAAGCAGCTCCCAGGAAGACCTCACCAGACGTGGCAGCGAGAGGGGCTTCAGGGTGCTCCCGTCACGAAACCGTCAGCAAAGACATCCTCCGCTTAAATCCAAGAAGCAAATCAGCAGCACATTCCCTTTGCACCTAGCTGGGCCCTGGCCACAGCTGTGCCAATGCGCAGAGCTGGCATCTGATCCTCCACAGCTGTCTGTGGAAGCTGCACAGGGGGAGAAATGGGACAGAGGCTGCGATCACAGATGGCAGCAGTAACATCAGAAAACAAGAAATGACATTTCCCCTGAACGCGTTATCACAACACCGTCACCGAAGAAACATAAACCTGGATGATTTATCGGGGGAGAGATGTTATGTATTCGTCTTGTGTAATTGCTGGTTGTGAGGGTGAGTTTCCCACTGTCCAGTGTTTCAGCGAAAGACTGGCTTCCATTGGCCCCGGGACTCACAGCTCACCCTCTCCTAAGACTGATGGCGCAGCTACTGCGGTCTCCACTGCTGCACAGCACCCTGCACCCTGTCCTATACTCTCTGTTCAACAAGTATAGTCAGTGAGGGACTGTAACGCTGATGGGAGCTGCATTTCTTCAGGGTCAGGACTCACAAGGTTCCACACCGACAAGGAAGGGGCAAGCAGGTGTGCAGTCCCCAGACCGTCTCCATCAGGACACACGCCTATAGCTCAGCAGAGAAGGTGACAGTGTGGTAGACCCCAGGGTGCCATCTTGGACGGACTTCACCAGGGCTGGTATGGAGGTAAGGTGGGTGGGCAAAAGAGTGCATGCACCTTGAGATGGTCGGAAGATGTGCTTAGCAATGAGGGCTAATAATACTAACACCGACTGCCCCATTTACTGTGTGCCTGTAAGTGTGCTATCCCATGCCAAGTGCTTTACATGTTATTTGATTAAACTGCCAGATGACAGGAGACAAGGAGGAGGAAGAGGAGGAAGAAACACAAAGCGGGGAATCTTATCTTCATTATAGAAATGAAAACCAAGAATCAGCTAGACTGCAAAACTGGTGTGTTTAGGGTTGGCATTGAAACCCAGGTTTGTTGGATCCTAGTTCTCAGGACCCTGAAGATGCAGAAACAGATGTGTGCCCTAAGCTGTGCGTGGGAAGCCAGGGAAACATTAGGTATGGGAAAAGAACAAAATCCTTCTTCTGCTTTGGGAGAGGCTCTCATCCCTCTGACAGAGTGGATCTTGGGTCAGTGCCCTATTGTCCCGAGCTCCCCCACCCTGCCTTGTCCCAGCTCGCGATGACCAAAGCCCTTTCCACCCACGCTGCTTCTGTAACTGCTTCCCCTCTCCCAAGAGACCACCACAAAGCTCCCAAGCAGAATGTCTCCCAGGACACCCAAGCCTCTTCGGTCTTGGCCACCATCCCATCCAGTGTTGGGGAGAGGACTTTCCTGCCAGGAGGCTCCACCCCCAGGAAGGATGGAGGCATTGCTCTGGGGCTGGGAGCCAGTTCTGTCTCCTCCACGCTTGAGCAACCTCCCTGACTAAAGAAAGGCCTTCTTTAGTACTGGGGATGAAACTCAGGTGCTTGTGCTTCCAAGGGAGGTGCCAGAACCACTGAGCTAAATCCCCGGCCCTAAAGCAAGGCCTTCTATCCAATACACAAAGATTCTTAGTTTTCGGTCAAGATGGTTCTTCACTTAAAACTGCACAAACAGGACCGGGGACATAGCTCAGCAGTTCAGTGGCCTGCCTCGCAAGCGCAAGGACCGGAGTTCAATCCCCGGTACAAAAAAACAAAAACACTGCACAAACAAAACAGAAATAACTATAGCTGTCATGGTGGAGGTGGGAACTGGCTCTCCAGGGACTTGCACTGTGCCTGATTTTCAGGAAGGGCTCACAGCCTGCCGCGGACACAGATCTGGACCTGCACAGCAGAGCTAAGGCTGCTCCTCTCTCCCCCCAATTCCTTCAGAGAAGACAAAAATGTGAGCCCAGTCCTAGGAGCCTCAGTCAGCAACCAGCATCCTCTACCTCTACGACCAAACCATTCTTGGAATAGCTCTCTGATACTTAATGTAATATCAACGTTAAATAGAATTTTTTCCCCTAAAATGTCTCACTTAATTCAGGAATAAACACCGTGGGTGGACGCGTCCCACGAGCGAGAAAGACAGTATCTCCATCTGCCATGTTTCCTGCTTTCCCTTGTTACATCAACCACTCCCGGCTCTAGGTGAAGACAGACAGCAGAGCTTACCCAGCTCTCCTCTCCTCACCCATCTAAGCCAAGCCAGAGCTGCTGGGAGGATGTCTGAGACCCAGGAGCCCCACTTCCGAAGCAGGAGACGAGACAAACCATTGGCGCTGAGCTAGGGCTGTGCGTGCTATGCCCTGACTTCTGACCCGCAGCCTGCGCGCCTGGCCCGGCCCCGGCACCCTAGCTTGCCCGTGAGGAGCACACTCAGTGGCTTGCTCGGTCGTGTGAAGCTGGAAAGATGCAAAGGCAGAAGTGGAGCCCACGCCTCGTCCCAGGAGAACAGGCAGCTTTCTCCTCAGTGTCTCTACCAGAGGAGGGCGCAGGCGCGGGCTCCGCCCCACCCGTCACCCCTACACCGGCGGAGAAGCGCACGCACACCGTTTAGCAATGATCCGAACTCATTTTGACCTCGGGAGCTTCCGCCTAGCGAGAAATCATTTCACCTTGACCAGGGTTTCTCAACCCCAGCACTTTGGACACCGACCAAGACAATCCTTGCAGTGGAGGCTGCTTGAGGTGTCGTAACATCCTTGGCTTCAAGCCCCTAGAGGCCTCGGGCACGCCCTGAATGTGACAGACAAAATTTTCTCCCAGCATTGTTCAGTATCCTCTCGGGAGCAAAACTGCTCAAGGTTGAGAGCCACTGATCTAAAACACAAATCTATTTAGCTGAGTTGGACAACTTTTGCAGATTCTTCTGTCCTATTTGTTATTCAAACATGATTAAGAGTTTAAAAAAGAAAAAGAGCAAAAAGTATGAGCCGTTACCTACACATATTACTGACATCATTGCCATAAATGCAACACAATGCTAGTCCACTACCTGGGCTGAAACGGCTTCACTCGAGCTGTTGTGTGTGACAGGATCTGTGGCATCGTCTTGAGGAACAGCGTCTGTGCTTCCTGGGTTCAGATGTAAAAAGCAGAGCTGCTGTGAGATGATGAACAGGATGGATCGAGCAAGCTCACCTTTACCGGAGCTCCATGGTGGCCAGGGGGCCCCGTTGAACTCACCCCAGACTGACGAGGCTAGAGTCTGTCTTAATCATCTCTGTAGCTGCAGGGTTTAACAGTTGAGGGCACAGGCAGAAGCCACATACCTGTATATTGAGTTAACCAGGTGCTTCTAGCTGGCCAGGAATATTAAATTGATTCATGAAAAAGAAAATAGCCTCTTTATTAGCCTTGGCCAAGCCCAGGATCCTCAACATCTGTACGCTGCTCTCCCTGTGGCTATAAGAAGCATGCATACAACCGAGGACAGCTCTTGGGCTAGTCCCTCTGCGGGTTCCACCCCTGAAGTTGCCGGACACAAAGCAGAAGCCGCTTCGGCAGCCAACCAGCATGACAGCAACCTGAGCTCGGTCAACCTGAAGGTTGTCGTCAGCGGCTCCCACCAGTCCTGGTGTCCTCCACCTCCTTTGTGTGCTTTGGGAATCGGTGCCTCTGGCGCACTGACCTCCGGAACCATGGGTGCTGCGCAGACAGGGATCAGGGCTCCCACCGAGAGCCTGTGCTTGTGTCTGGGCAATCTGTGCATGTGAATCCACCGGGACAGGAACAGATCCTTGCGAGGACAATCTGCTTCCCGGAGAGCCGCCGTCCGTCTCCAGTGAAGGGAGGCACTGAGGAATCACCAGGAGGGAGGTTTCTCCGCATCAGGAGCTCGGCTGAGTGACCCGCAACAGCAAGGACTGCACGGAAGGAACTCACACATCTGCCCACTGCTCGGCATATTCTTCCTAAGTGTCCCCCAGGGGCTGAGGCTCCCTGCGAAGTCAGCCGACTGCAAAGGTAGCGGGAACGGTCTCCGAGACCACCCTCATCTGACACAACTCCAAGTCCAAACGGTCCCGAGGCCACCCTCGGTTTGACAGCTCTCTGACTCAGAACTCACCGTGAAACTGTTCTTCCAGGGTTCACAGCTTACTATGCAGAAAAGGTACAGATTAAAGTCAGGCAAAAGGAGAAGAGCACAGGGCACAGTCTCGCACCAGGAGCTCCCAGGTCCCAGTTCCAGCTTCATGGGACGTCCTCACAAAGGCAGGAGGACCTCGAGGGACAGCACTTGTGGATGCTACCAGCCAGCGAAGCTCACTTCTGCCTCAGTGCCCTAAGTCTTCACTGGGACTCGGTCAGGAGGCCTGAGTGTCCTTCCATGCAGCTGACCCCAATCTTACATTATTTTCTCTAGGGGTTGACAGCAGCCACTGCATGACACAGAGTTTGCACTCTAGTCACACTGTTCCTGTCTGCTTTAGCTCAAGACCCACCGCTCAGTGAAGACACTTCTGTCAGTTGTAACATCCCAGGGCTTAGAAGAGCAAAGACCATACCTCGCTTGAGGAAAAGAAGCATTTACGGCTCACTGAGTCCTGAAACTGCAAACAGAGTCCCTACTTTACCTGGAAACATGCACCTTCTCCAGACCCCACTGATAGGAACACAAAGGGAAATGTTGGCCAGCACGCCCGTGGCTCTTAGCTTGCGCGGCAGCTGTTCCTTCTCTGGATGAGCACCCCAAGTGTCCTCCAGGAGAACACATACTTCCTAAACCCCAGATTCCAACGAGGTCTGGCAGCAGGCTCACACCAGCTGACCCAAGTCGTCCCCTAGCTCCTGCCCACAGTGATTTCCAGACAGGTGACCCAAGCCAAGCAGGGACAGCCATCCCGGAGTCTTCACTGACAGCCCCTTCTTGCCAGGTGAAATGATGTAGCCTAAGGACAAGAGTCACCACCTTGGCACCCTAAAAAGATAGCCAACCTGAGAACAAAGGGAGCCAGAGAAAGTCAGAGCCAAGCTGCGGGGTGGCTTGGTGGGAGCACCTGGGCTAATTCTGCCTGAGTGCTGGCTTGCTTGAGTCTTTTCAGTGACAGACAGAGCAGTACTTTTTTCTTTCTTTTTTTTTTTTTTTTTTTTTTT